TTGATATTATTGTTAGATTAACATTTCGACTTATTTTTTTTCAAAATTCAATTTAATTTAATTTTTTTTTATTTTTATTAAAAAATAAATTTTTATCTTATATATTACATTAAAATATTTAGTTTTTTATGTTTAAAACGGAAACTTTTATTATTAAAGTTTCCGTTTTAAACAGAAAAAACTATTTTTTAAACCAATAAAAACAATTTTCTGTTTTTATAATTATAATACTATTTATATTTAAAAGGTATTATAAATTCTAAAACATTGGAGTTTAAAAAGTTAAGCGATAAATATTTAAAAAATTGATAAATTTCAAATAATCATCAAATTGATGTGAATTTGTCTATTAAATAAAAAAAATAAAATATTTTAAATATATATACATGTATTTTTAACAATATATATATATATAAATGTATATGTATATTAAAATAAATTTGTTGTCATTTTTATAATACATTAAAAATATTTTTGGTATATAATATAATAATAGGTATAATAAAACATATAATTAGTGGTTCTATCATTAAAATATATACATAAGAAATGTTATAACCAATCAAAATATAAAACAAGTTTAATAAAGAAAAAAGAAATATTTATTTTTAATCACCGACTATTGAAGAATTTATGTATTCCGTTATATATACCAATGAAAGGTTTTACTCTATATAATTTATTAAAACAAAATTATATATAAATAAACAAATATATTTATTTTTTGTTTTAGAGATAGTGGTTATTAGTAAAAAATACTTTTATCATCATAAATATTTAAGTACATTAAAAACACAATAAAACAACATATTTCTTTTTAAAATAAACTTTGAACAAAAAAAGAAAATAATAAAAATGAGTAGATTTGTAATAAACATTTAAGTTGTTTTCATACTAAAGTATCTATAATAACTGTATACCAAATTAATAATATGATGTTAAAATAATAAAGGTTTAAGATCAATGATTACCAACACTTGATTATTTTCTTACAACATTATTAAAATAATAGCTAATAATTTGTTTTTAATTGTTTTTTTTAACGCTTCGACTTTCTTATTCAAAAAATACACTTCTTAACATCATTCCATTTTTGACAATGACAAACGAATAAATCATATTTTGATATTGTTATTAAACTAAAACAATTAATGTTTTTAATCATTTTTCATTTCAAACATAAATTAAAATATATTTATTTATTTCATTTTAGTCCAAAAATGATAATTCATTTAATAAAAACAATTTTGCTTTTAACAACCATATTTGCCTATTTGCACTTGATATGTGATACAATATCAATTTATTAATCAATTTGTCCTTATATTTAAATTTTGGGATAATATTTTCTTTTGTAATTTAAATTTGAAAATCAACATTAAAGTTTTTGAAAGAAAAATATTAAGCTGTATAAAGATAAAATTTTTAATAATATATTTTATTGATTATTAAAATTATATCATTTATTTAATTAAAATAGTTTAAATTATTAATACATAATGATAATATTATCTTTATTTGTCAATAACAAAAAAATGTAATGTGATCTCCAAATAACACAAAAGTTTAAACTATATAAAATAGTTTAATTAAGTCAAAAGTAATTCAAAAACCTACTTATCATTTACTAATAAATTATAATTTTATTATAATTAAATACAGTTTAATGATAAAAAACGGGGTTTCTAAAGAAACAATAATTCATCTAATTACTAGAATAAAATTGAAGCTTAATTTAAGGTAAACAATTCATATTATAAGGTTAAGCGACTTTCCCAAAGGTTCTCCCAAAGGTTCTCTCAAATATTGTTAATAAAACGGGGAAACTGTTTTAATTTTATTGTATTTTGTCTTATTTATTTATTGGTTTATTTTTTCAATATTTTTATTGTTTCTGTAAAACAGAGTTTCAATGTTTTTTATGGATTTAAAAAAAGAATCTTCTACAACGAACAATGATGTTTTATTTCTTTAAAAAATCGCCCGATTTTGTAGTTTTTTTTAACACAAGATTATCCTAATAATTATTCAAATTATCCTGTTTATGCAGAGAAAAATGATATATTATAATTCAAAAATAATCCCGATTTTCAAAGAAAAAAAGGTTTGATATTGGTTATAATGTTTTGCGATTAGGGAAATTATTACTATCAATTCCTATTAATTTAGATTGAAAGAAGCTGTTTTTTACTGAATAATTTAACCCTTTCGGCAATAAAAAAGTATTTCGACGTGTAAACAAAAATTTTTTGGTCATGTTTTTAAAATTTTCGAACCATGGGTATACTCACAACCAAGTGAAACTCAATTTTTCAACAATAACAAAAACAATAACAAAAAGTAGAATTAGGTTATAAATCAACATAAAATATAACTCGATATTTAAATGATAAGTTCAACTGCTCGTTCTAATGAAAAACATTAAAAATCCAGAATTCCAATTGTCATACAGAACGAATAAAACATTGTTGTATATCGATTGTGGATGGAGCAAATGATAAACATCTCGTTTATAAAACAAAAATAATGAGACAAGCCAATTCGTGTGATTCAAAGACTTTTTCGTTGCAAAATTACAATAAACACGAGACTGTTGAATGGTGCAACCCAAAAAACTAATTGAGAAAAATAGTGCAACTTTAGTTATAGTTTAGTTATAGTATTTTAATTAGAGTAATAGTTTTAAAGAAATTTGTTTGTGTTTTCTTGTTTTGTTTCTAAAAAACATATAATTTTTTTCTATAATTATACTATAAACCAAGTTGCACGGTTTTAAGAATGACTTTATTCAAAAAACACAAATCAAAAAAAGAAAAATATTAAAAATTGAATTAAAATCCCAATTAAAACAGGAATTTTGAAAAAAAAATCATAATTTTAGGAATTAATCAGTCTGTTCAATTTTCTGTTCGTTTTTTTCTTCGACAGTTTCAGCTTTTACTTCGGTGGCAACGCTTTGGGCCTCTTTTTCTTGTCTTTTAAATTCTTCCACAGCGGCCTTTTTTATTTTGAGAATAGCTTTTCTTTCTAATTTATAGTTCCTTCTTCTTTCGTTCGCTGTCATGTCCGACAACCGAGCTGTTCTCTTTTTTAACTTTTCGAGTTGTGCATTCAAATTGTCTAATTCTTCTGAAGGTTTCAAAAAAGTTAAGCTTTTAGTGAGTCCCAATTTATTTGATAAATCTGAAACATTCATTACATCGATCATTTTCTTCTCGACAGTGATTTTTTGATCATTCAACTTTGTCTTGTTCAGACTATTCACAGCTCTATCTACCGCCTCATCTGAATCCAACTTTATTAACGCGCAACTCTTAGGTTTACCTTTCTTGTTAGTTGGTATCGAAATTTTTAGAACTTTTCCAACAGTCATAAAAAGTTGTTTTAACTGTTCTTTTGTGACATTTTGATCCAAGTTGCTCACACAGACTAAAATGGTCTTTTTTTGATTCTGAGATGGTATAAATATTCCTTTTTTAGTGATCGAATTTTTCGGCATGACTGAAGGAGGCACTTTCGAACCAACTGTGTCCTCTTCATTGTGTGTTTGTTTTGGCACAACCTTTTGACTTATTTTTTCATTGTTTCCTTTTGTACGTCTGTCCATTTTAATTTGATATTTTTGAGTTGACCTTATTGAAATCGACGATGATTATTAGTTATATAGTATTATATATTTACTATACTTTTACTAAAAATATTATAAATAAAATCAGGGTGATATTTTTTTACTTTAATAAATTTAACTAATTAAATTTTTTATTATTAGCGTTTTGCCAAATATTTGAGGAATTGCAAAGTTGGGCAAACTTTGCACTTTCTCAAAAATTAAATTATAATTTTAAATAAATCCGAATCAAAAAACAACTATAAAAATTAATAAAATGATTGGAAAAATGCCATAATTTAATAGTTATTTAGCTATTAAAAAACAAACTATGCATAATTTATTTTAGATAAAAATAAAAGGTAATCAAAAGCTAATTTCGACTTGTTGTGTTTTTTATAAACATGTTTCACATATCAAAATAAAATTGATATTATTTGCAATTGAATTTACACGCAACAACATAAAACGTAAAATATACATCTTAACAATTTTTTTTAAATTTGAAAATATTTCCACCATAAAAAAAATCAACACAAAATATTTCAATCATATTTTTTGAGTTAATACACCGTTAGATTATTTTTTCTAAATGGAAAACAACATACACAATTAACAAAACACATAAAACGTTTTAAACAAAAAACTTGGAAGTGATTACAAATACAAATTACTTGACAAAAACGACATTAATTTAATAAATAAACATATTTTTACTTTGATTGTAATTTAAAAACATAGAAAAAACATTATCCATAAATGCTTATTGTCGAATAAAGATTGTTAAATGTTTTTTGGATTAATTTATTTGTTAATGTACAATCATTTTTGATTATTAAAGTTCAATGGTAATTGTAAAATTGTCATCGAAAATAGCAATTGTACTTTTAAATTAAAGTAACAAGACAAATGCTATTATCCAGAATAAATTTGTGACAATCAATTATAACGTATTTAATGACACTACTAACAATTTAATAAACTGTTTACAAAAAACACTCTTATGGTCACATAAAGTTTGTTTCAATTTAGAATAAAAATTGGAAATAATTTTTTTGTAATCATATTGTGTTAAATAATAATTAACTCAATCAATAAATAACAGCGTTTTAAATTATCACACAACAAATTAGTCAACACAATAAAAATTTCAAATAAAATAATTTACGTATATTATAAAGTTTTGAAACCAAATAAAAATGTTGAATATATTTTACAGTTGAATATCAGTTGTGTATGACAATATATTTTTGATTATTGATTGTTACATTTGAATAATTAAAGGGGCTGAAAAAAAGCGATGTTGTATAAAGTTGGTAACAATAGGTAAAATGTTTTTTAATTATTATTTTGTTATTTGTTTTTTTCCTTTTTTAAAAAAATAAAACCAACATTTTTGCTTTGCCTGAGTATTATTAAGAAGTGTTTCGAATATGTTGTTAATAATATATTTATATTAGGGAGAATACATAATATAATACATGTATTTGTTTAATATAATCGGGAAACCCATTGAACTATTTATAAAGTGATATTAATAGTTGGATTTATAGAGACAAAACCCGTACAAATTAAACAAAGTATAATAAACAGTTCTTTTAACACAGTTAACGAGATGGTTTATATTTTCGTTAGTTACGATTAATCACGATGTAATTTGTTGATCCCTTTGTTTTCTGTGTTTTTTCTTTTTGGAACTTTTCCCTTTCATAAACTAATCAGCTGTAATAACCTAAGTTGTTATTGTGAAATCTATGCTCTTAAACATTATTAAATAAAACAAACGTCTCTTCTGGTGATTCCGGACAGTAATAAATATATATATTGTCGTTGAATAATAATTATTTGTATGCATAAACGACCTTCTCATTATTTTTAGTTCTTAATTTCCCAAGTTCATTATTTGACAGTGTTCATAATCATGATAAACAAACGCGTTTTCTTCTGAGTTTTAATGATTGTTTGATTTCAGATTTTTGAAACTTTTTTATACCCATTTTTGTTGTAAATCAAACCTTTATAATTAAAATATTATTTTTTATACTATTTATTTTATAATGTATCAAATTTATTTTTAGGTTATTGTTTTTGTTGGGTGTTTTAATATATAATACTCAGATTAAAATATTACTATTTAAAAATTATATTAATATAATTAACATGTAACAAATACTTTATTTAATTATAGAAAAAGGTTTGCGACAAAAATAAGACTTAAACCCGCAGTTATTTTTCGGGTTTTCTGGGTTTTTTGGCTTGACTTTGCTTCCTGGTGTTGGTGAGTTTCTCACGTTGAAGACGTTTTTTCCTGTCTTCATAATTTTCGAGAGCAACTCTGGTCGCTCCAACAACTTTAGGTTCTGCAGCAATACCCAAGAATTTGCAGACTTCTCTTGCCCCATTCATGTCCACTTTTACCACTCCCGTTATGTAATCTGAAATATTGTAATTTGGAGACTTCTTTTGTATCTCCTGAAGCTCGCTTTCACTGGGAGTGTGTGGCACAAATGATATTCCTGCTTGTTTAAAAGAGCTCGTGACATTGTCTCCGTTTGCCACACGCTCCCAGGAATAGATTAGCTCTCTAATTTTTTCCTCTTCAGACATGTTAATATATTTTTTCATTGCTTGTTTGAACTCTGGGGAATCTATTTGAAGCAATTTCCCACTTTTTTCAACATTTTTTCCTTCTTTTTTAATAAAGTGAATTTGTGGCAAAGATAGTTGTTTTTGTCCGCCAAAAATTTCTTTTGGTTCCCGAATATTCCCAAGTCCATTGGTTGACATAAATGGGAACTGTGAGGGACCTCCTTAATCATTTCTACATGATTTTCCAAAAATAAATTTTGAATTTCTTCATAAAAATGGCCTGAAAAACCATCAAGAATTAGGAAAGCTTTCATATCGGCACGCACACCCATTTGTTCTCTTTTTGCCTTAATTGTCGGGAAGAACACTTTTTTAACCAGAGGGTGTATAATTCAGTATTCAAAACACCTGATTTTTGTGTCCTTATTAAAGCCCAACTTTTAAGGGATATAATAGCAACATCTTCCAGAGAAAGTCTTTTTGTTACCACAAGTGGTATCATTTTGGTTCCATCGAGGCATCCACAACACAAAAGACTTGTTCTGGAACTTTCTCTTTCAACTTCATTAAACACATCTTGTCCTCTAGAAACTTCTGCATAGACAATTTTTGAATGAGAATCGACCCATTGGTCGAATCCGACCTCATCAAGGTTAAAAATAAGCTCAAAACGGCACCCATCAATTTTCTTTTTCAATTCGGTGTAATATTGCAAAATTGACTCGGGTGTAACTTCTGCCCGTTTTGCTTCCATAACTGGTGCAACATCTGGAATATGGGTCATAATTTTGTGCAATTGCTTGGACCCAATATTTTGTCGAATTTTTCGTGAATAAAAAAACTTGCTTCTTCAGCGGGTTGCTTTTTTGTCTT